GCTGTGGAAAATTATGTGGCACATATGCCGAGTCGAAAAACTCATGACTCATTCAGTTGATATCAACGTTACGCACTTAACTTTCGCACTCCGGCAAAGATGCTCGTAGTCATGCTTTAGCTTCATCTAATTTTCATAAGGCCAAGTGGAATTTCAACTCACGAACATGTACTTCAGCCGTCGCCTTAAGTGGGCGGCCCCGCCAAAGGCGGAGCGAGATCTTTGAAAATGCCACAAAACCGACCGTCAATGGAATTTATTCGTGTATATATCATAAGCAGCGTAATTTGATTGAGCAATCTGCATATTGCGCTGGAAGCCATTGGAGGTCATTATGCTTATAGCTTGTAGCTAGGCAATGCTCAAATTCCGTCTGATTAGAGCTTTAACATTTATATTTCTTTTATTGCGGTGCGCTTTTACAATTTTTAATATACATTTTCCTCCTAATTATAAACATGCTTTTCAAAGAAAACTTAACATTTTGTTTTTCTTTTAAAGCCTACTATAAATATAAAAGGAGGCGATGGGAATGAGGATCTCGCCCATACATTTTTCGACAGCTAATCACATTTAAATGTTTTCAATCTGTCTACCATTTATATGCCCTCTTAGTAAGCCATAACCTAATTTGTTGCAGGTTTCTACCCTAAATCGTATTTTAAGTGGAATAAATAATTGACTGAATTCATATATCGTATATATATTTAATTATATTTTATTTACCACAAAATAAAAGGTCTGCAATAAAACAGACCCAAGTCTATGATAAGTACAACATAAATAGTAGTTGTGGCTTATAATTTGTAGCAACATTTTTAAGGTCTGACAAAAATGGAGCCCCTTTTATTATGTGATATTAATATTTGACTTAATGTGACTTCATTTAGTGTTTTTTCAGTCTTCAGCTACTATAATCATAAACACAATTACTTTCTCTTTATTGTTAACAAAATAAACAACTTTTTATTCATTAGTTAGCAATCATGTTAATAGTTCATATTTACATTTTACATTTGCATGCAATAATAATAATAATAATTGTATTTAACAGAATTTTATTTAATGCAGTTAATGTATTTCTAGAATTTCTACCATCAACACTCGAGCTGTGGGTCGAGTTTTATTGAGAAATATATATGTACAATATATTCCATATTTAATAAAGCCTGCAAAAGAATTTTATTTTTGTACTCATCTAGTCGAACTGTATATGCCCTTTCCATAATTTCTTTTACCAGCATTCGCATTGTGAGTTAACTTTAATTGAGATATATGTATATTTCACATTTAATAAAGCCTGTGAGTGTATCTCAGATTTTGTATTTCAACAGTCTAACTTCACTTTCGCTCTATTACAATCACTTTATAAAGATTGCAGTTAATATCTTTCCATAATTTCTTTTACCTGCATTCGCATTGTGAGTTAACTTTTATTGCGATATATATTTCACATTTAATGAAGCCTGTGAGTGTATCTCATATTTTGTATTGCAGCTAGTCTAACTTTATTTTGGGTCTGCTAAAAGCACTTTATAAAGATTGTTGGCTTCGCGTATTTGTTCAAAAAGTTGCACATTGTTTTCCCTGCTGCGGCTGTTGGCTTTGCTTTTTTGTCCCATTTTTAGCGGAAAACTGTGCTGGAAAAGTGCACACCGATTTTTGGCGTAATAATTTATAGGCCAGTTTTGGGACTCGAGGCTCGTGGCATGCAGGAATAACTTTGCAATGCTCAATTTGTGCAACCATTTTATATTATTAATGGTTAGCATTGTTGTAGCTGGCAACTGGCAACTGGTTGGCTTTCAAAGGATTTGCTTTCAACTCAAACAAATGGAATTTGGGAAAATGCATTTCCATTGTGGTCGGAGGAAGACGAGTCCGAAAGCATTTTCCTTTCCCTATGCAATTGTAGTGCGAAGATTTTGGCTGCCTTTTGCTGTGGTGACACATGCCAAAAATGCGACTGCTATGAAACCGGAAACGACAAACAGCAACAACAACGACAGCAACAACAATATACAATAGATACCCGTCAACCATTTTGTGGGCATTTTGTGCACTCAACTGCACCAGCTGCTGTGCTGTCTGTGTCCACTGTGCCAACGCCACGCCCCACACTGTCCCTTGCCGAGGTCTGTTTGCCTTGCTGTACTATGTATTTTATGACTTGTTATTGCCACGCCCCTGCCAGACCAGAGCACGCCTGCCCAAGCGTTAGCTAACTTTTTGCATTCAAATTACAAAATCCAACTTTAAATGCCCTGCAGCCAAGACAGAGAGTTTCACGTTCTCACGGTATCCCCACGAATCTGTGTTCCCTACTGAAATATTCAAGACTTTTGACGAATCAATAACTAACTTTTAGCTTTACTATATGGGACATTAAAATGGAATAGTAATCTATTTACAGACTTTTGATAACAGAGTTTCCATTCTATAACAGAAAGTAAACAGATAAGTTTGCATGTGATGTTATCTAAATTCTGTTAAACTTTTCTAGTATCATACATATATTTCTTTGCCTATACTCGTATATACGCAATCTTCCAATAAAATTTAAAATAAATTATTGTGTTTATTGAAAAACGAGATATCTTCGCGTCTGCCAACATCGGTGGCAACATATAGAGTTGCTTGTGCTACATTTTATGCTTGGCGTTTTCTTCAGTTTTTTATCTTTCTCTTAACACGCACCGCCCCTCCACCCACAGCTAGCAAATGTGCGAAAGCAAAAGGAAACCCAATAGCACTTTAGCAGGTACTATGCCAAGAAGAAAACTGAAAGGATCTTCAGACCATTGAAGTCCATTCCTGCTGCTGCCGCTGCCGCTGCCGCTTCCACTCCTGCTGCTGTTGCTGTTGCTAAAAGTGTGCGCCAAGTGTTGAGAGATGTTTTGTTGCAGCTATTCACTTGATGGCAGATTTTTACCTGTTTGCCTAGTTTTTAACAACAGGAAAGAAGTTTTGCTTGTGTTCCGTTCGGTTCGCCGCTTTGTTTACGGCCAAATACAAAACAATGCCATTCTTACACATGAGCGCATTTGAAGCAAGTTTTTTGCAGTAGAAGCGGCAGCAGCAGCCGTTGCTGTTGACATCCTGCATTCAACTTGAAATTAGAGCTATTCTCCAGCTGTTGCTAAAGTCATGACTCAGACTCTTTCATTTGCTCTGCTCGGACCAGGACTACAACTGGGACTCGGACTCGGACTCGGACTCGGACTCGGATTGCATATTTAATCCGTTGCTGTAGGTCTTATTCGCAATTCCACACGCCTTGCTTCCTGCCCGCTGCTTAGCTATCCAAAAGTGAATTATTGCTAGCATCTGGCGGCAACTGCTGCAGCATTTCAATTGGCCAAATCATTCGACTCATTGGCTCGAGCTTCGAGCCGAAAGCTGGCTATGCTCCGCAGCTCTTTGTTTGCCATTGGCATTAGCAATACAAATTGCACAGCGAAAGTTCAACAAACTACATTTTAAATGGCGCACACTAACTAAAAAAAAAACAAGTAAGAAAGCTCTAGTCGAGACTGCTCGACTACGAGATCCCCTGAACCCTTGGAGTGCTAGCTATTTCAATAATTTTTCGCGTCTTTCAGCTTACACAAGAAACACACACACATACACAAACACATACACAAACACATACACAAACACATACACACACAAGCACCCACGCATAAACACGCATGGGCTGCAGTGTGCGCTTACTATGAGAACTTAATTGTTTAATAACTTTTTTTGTGGACGTACGATCTTCATGAAACTTTCAGATTATGATTATAACATGAATATGCATGTAATTGCCAAAGCACAAGTCTCTAGTATTTGAAATACGCTTTTTACAANTCATTAAGATCGTATGTCTACAAAAGAAATTATTTAACAAATAAATTCTCATAATATTGCCCACACTGCAGCGCAGCCCAAGCGCAGTCGCTGCTTACTGCGCAGTTAGCAGAGCGCAGGCTTATGCGTGCGTGTGGATGCATGTGTATGTATGTGTGCATAAAAGAAGTGCAGAATGATTAGAATATCAGCTTGGAGGGTTCAGGGTATCTCCTAGTCGAGCAGTCTCGACTGGAGCTTTCTTACTTGTTTATTTATTAATTATTGACAAATAACAGCGGCTATTTATAACAATGGAATATAAAATTTTCAATAAGATAAGACTTTTCTATTTGCCATTCATCCACCAGGCGGAAATCCCAGCCCAGTTGCGAACTACTTGGCTTTCATATAGAAATACGGATAACAGACAGCAAGACGAGCATTGCGAAACAACCAATATATTCTTTTTTCAGTTCGTGAATGTGTAACAAACACACACACATACAATTCGACAGGCAGCAAAGGACTTGGATTTAAAAATGGCACAGGTAGCTTTACAGTTGCCTTTTGTAGCGCTTTTAGCTATTTTAAGTTTTTATGTCAATTAAGGCCAAAACGCTTCATAGATAGCTTACATTGTTTTAGCGTTTACTTGATATCGCTCTGTGTATCTTCCACATGTGCATACGTAATAAGTGAACTTTGACCCTAATTACAGCATCATCTATAAAATACGAAAAATTCTGTACCAAATTGAGCCAGAGGTAGTCATTTTATAAACTGGTCAGATCTGATTTGCTCAAGCAGCAAAAGGCAATAATAACAAATCAGAAATCTGATATTTTAGGGAAAAATAAAAAATAATATAAGTCATATACATGTAGATACATGGTTTAATGAATTGAGTTTCATGTGCTATTAAATATCATTTATTAATTTTAATCAGTAAAGAATGTCGCTCATTGATGCGACGCACAGGAAAATTAATTCAGGAGCGTAATATCAATAATGTCAACTGACAATTTCCAAAGTTCTTGTCAGCCCAGATTTTCAGATATTAAAGAATGTTTTCAGCATGCACGTTAATTGAATTTTAATTAACGAACTGCAAGTTCCGTTTTAATCAATGAAAAACTCTATTAAAAATAATAAAGCTCATAACTTACCACGGCTGATGAATTGAAGCCCTCGTTTGATATGCTGCAAATAGAAAGAGAAGAGCAAATTCATGTGAAAAATGATTTATAAATCGAATGCGTAAGCAACATGGAGTCCAATCAATTTGTTGGCTCCCCAATTAAAATGCCGGGCAGCAGTGGTTATCAACAACAAAATGACCACACACAATGCCCTGCATCCATTTTGTTTATTGACTTTGTCGAGTGTCAAGAATGGCATCATAATCAGAGAAAAAATAGAGAAAAGGCGAAACGAGAAATCAACATTGGGGAAACACACACAAGTAATGGCTGCGGAGCTAATGCCTGGCGCAGAGGACACTTCCGGCTCCCATTAGCCGAGGCACTGCTCACAATTTATGTGCTCGGCGCTGAATCAAAAACTTTATGAAATCGACATCAAAATGCGGCGAGTAGTCCAATCTTTGCCTCCGCACACGCCCCCACTTTGCTACTTATGTACATATTATTGGGGCGCCTGTCAAATGAAGCGCCACAAAAAAGCAAGCGAACGAGCTTCAATAAGCAATGAACGACTAAGGGATTGCCTGTACACTCTAGATGCCCTTTCATACAAATGACTGTGAATACCTACTGAAGATATACTGATATACCACATTTCGCGAGTCTATAAAATATCACAATATCACAATATGCATATCATGCCCTGTCACACTAGTTGCAGGGTATTAAGGTACACTGGGGATTCGCTTGGCCGGGTGGTTGGCTGCCTGACTGTCTGGGTTGTCTGCCGGCTGTGCAACTGGGGCCAGCCTGGGCTGCCCGTTTCATCAACTTAAACTGCTGACAGCTGATAAATGCTGTTCAATTTGTTTCACCAATTTTTCGCCCTCCATTTAAAACTGTATAAAATGGCGGTTGACAGTTGACATGTCCTCCCCCACAGCCACCTTAAAGAGAAGCCGTCTCTTGCCACAGCTAAAAAATAACAAAAAGGGCAAAAAAGTAACAGCAAAGTGGCTAAAAGAGATTATTCTGAAGCATCTTCTCTAAGCTCCAATCAATTTCAGTTTAAACTTTCAATTTTTCGGTGAGTTCAATCAATTTTTGTTCATGAAATTACGAAATGAGTTCATCGATAAGAAATTTTAAAATAGAGGTTTGAAATATGTATATTGATATACCCAAAATATTAATATGGATATATTCATATTGATTTTGAAAACTGTGCAACCGTGTACATTGTACAAAATGTATATACTTATGAAATATTATAACGCAATGAGTGTAATATATAACATAATGGAAGCTTCTCGTATTCATACATACATCTATACACACACACACCAATGAAGCTTACCTGCGAAATCCTATTATTTGAAACTCGATACATGGATACGACCCTAATGAAATAGGCATGCATATAATATTCATGCTTCATTATAGGGGGATAAATTACCTAATAATAAACAAATATTAAACATTTACTGCGAAAGATACACAAAAATATGCAGTTCATATTTCAAATATTTAGGTCTCGATGCTCAGGTCGTAGACAGACAGGCGAGCTAATCCATATATGTATAGAGTTATAGAGTCAGTTCATAGTAAATTATGCATAAATCCGTTAAGAGTTTGTACAATATAAAATAGAGGCTTACAAACTCTTTGAGTTTTCCTTAAATTCATTCAAAATTTGTATTGAAAAGCTAAACTGCTGAAAGCTGAGGCTTTGTTTATTTCCTGTTTATTTCTATTTTCATTTATTTCTTTTGGTTATTGGGAAGGAAAAGGATGAAGGAAACATTTCAAGTTGAAGAAATGCTGCAAACTCGATAAATATTTTGCTTTAATTTCATTTATTTGTTAACTGTTCTGTGTGGGTGTACGAATGTGTGTGTGAGTGTGTGTGGGTTGGGTCTCTCTCATACGGTGCTTCGTTTTATAGGCTGGCAGTTACAGAAAGTAGGGCGTGGCATTGCGTTTGGGTATAACACGTTCAGCGTCCGGCACAGCCATGAAGATGTGGGCAAAGCACTCTGTGGCCGTCTTAAACCTGAGTATGGCAGCCACGTTGCCGCAGCGATAGCAATAGTTGGGAGCTGACCAAACTGTAACCAGCTTCTCGTCGAACATGTACTTGAGGCCATCGTCGACCAGCTGATGGGCGCGGCAAATGAGGCTGAGATTGTTGATGGTCATGAAGTCGTTGGTGACCTTGCGCCCGAACAGCCAGCCGGCGCCGCGCGGGCTCTGGTCCCAGCAGTCAATGTCCTCCGGATCGGACCACACCAGGTCGCAGAAGGCGCCTTTGTAAGGTATTTCGCCGATGCGCTCGATTGTGCGCATCTGGTCCAGGGTGACAATCTCCGGACTGAGTCCGCCGTGCACGCAGAGCACCTGCTCATCGATGATCGCTGCAATCGTCAGCAAGTCGAAGACGTTGCAGCAATACTTCCAGCCATTCGCATTTCCGTACTTGCTGAAGCACTCGTCGAAGAAGCCGTAGACCTTGGTGATCTGCCGCGTCTCGTGGTTGCCGCGCAGCAGAGTTATCTGGCTGGGGTAGCGCGCCTTCAGCGTCAGCAGCCTGGTGAACGTCTCCAGGCTGTAGTAGCCCCGATCCACAAAGTCGCCCATGAATATGTAGTTCGTGCCGGGCACCTCGCCGCCGGTGCTGAACAGCTTCTGCAAGTCGTAGAACTGGCCGTGGATGTCCCCACAGACAGTCACTGGGCTGCTGACCGGCTGCACATTGGCCTCCTCGAGCAGAATGTCGCATATTATCTCACACAGCTTGCGCAGCTCATTCTCTGGCAAATATTGACACTTCTCCACCATCTCAATCCATTTGTCAACATCACCCATTATAAGCGCCTTTCCAAGCAAATTGCAAATCCGGCTTCAAAACTACTACAAAAAACGAGTGAATAGAAAATGTTTTCCTCTCTCCGACAGATCTACTACATACTAGATTGACAAAAAAAAACTTACAAAGGGAGTGAGAAAAGTGTCTGAACGTAGGGTCAATGAATTTAACTATTTAGTTAGTATTTACGTTACACAAATAAAATTTTTACACTGAGCTCTCAATAAAGTAAAAATTCTTTTTGCTGGCACGCAAGCTGTTAATGAATATCATCTGTTACAATGCGACACGGTATATCGATAAACGTGTCTACCATAAGTATCGAAAATTCATTTTTATTTTAATTCATACCCACATATTGAATCTTTGCAGAAAAAGGTGTATATAAAAATGAATATGCATGAAACAAAAATTAGAAAATTAAGCTTTTTGGTTGGCCGTAGACATAAATTGAACAAAAAGCCAAGCTTATATAATTTTCAATATGGAAAAATCAATGTAAATTTGCGAGCCCAGTTTTAGATAAATAATAATATGCATATTAGCTTCGTACATTTGATTTACTTTCACTTTAAATTCTTAAACTATAAGCAAGCTTGACTCGCATTAGAGTTGTTAGTTATATAATTTATGTACTATATAATATATGTAGTTATACATGTTTTAAGTTATGGAAGCGTAATCTTTACGCTTACCAAGTCGACATCTTAAGGCTTGTCAAAGCAAAAACACGAGCGTGTGGTTGCCATAACAACCACAGAGACAACAACAACAACGACAACAACAACAACCACAACAGCAGCAAGAGGAACAAAAAAATAATAATATTGTAATAATCACCCTGTTGGCATCAACATCATTATGCGGGATTGCATCAAGTGTAGCATATGCCATGGCTCGAGGCCAACGACTTGAACAACAACAGCAACAACAACAAGAGCTACAACAATCATCCCGCGCAGCCTTTTGAGCTGTTGCTTAAAATCAACAAAACGTAAATCCGGAATCCTGCCAGGGCCACAAAGGAGCAAAAGAAATTTGCAGGCTGAATGCACAAGTTGCTGCCCAAAACAACTAAACACGGAGCCAAAAAAAAAAAAAAATAGAAACACACACACACACAGAACTCTTGCTGAGCTAAGAATTTGTTTAAGTTTTTGCCTGGAATCTAATTAATTTCAAGCATGAACACATAAACTTTTCGAGCTGAGCTTCAAAGTCTATTAATTTTCGGGAACGGAGGCCTGTTGTGGGCGTGTAGATTGCGCTGCCAGGAATCTATTAGCCTGTAAACTTCTTCCGCTCCAGACACGCACACATTGATTAATTTTAAGACAATAATCATAAAGGCGTTGCCCACCTGACCACAATTTGCCAAAAACTTTGTTCTCCCACTCTCTCTCTCTCTCTCTCACTCTCTCTCTCTCTTTGTCTAGCGCGCTCTTTCGGTTGACTGGTGCGTTGTATTCAAAATGGCGCACGTGCCTGGTTATATGCTTGTGCTGCGTAGCATACTTTCCAGCGTCTTCATTTCAGCTAACCAAGGCACGTTGGCTCGGCCCGTGGCTCGCAACGGCTGTTGGACGCCTGTGCAAGTTTGGTTAGTTAATTCGCTGGCTTCCACTCATTGCAACTCTGGGCAGGCCACAGGCATGGAAACCTAATCAAAGTTCCTATTGCTGATCAACAGTGCGTGCGAGTTGGCCTATTCCCGCCAAATCTGGCTTTTATATACCTGGTTGAACTGTTTGTTTTTTATGAACCCCTGAACCCAGTGAAAATAGGGAAGTGAATAATTATTGAAATATCAGAAATTCAGATTTTATACTCTGGCTTTTAATATGAAATTTAGCAAGAGAATAAAAATTTAATACAATCTAGTTTGTTTTACAAAAAGAAATATAATTTATTTACAATTCTCGAAAGTATCCGCATTTGTATTATTAACATTAATTATTAAGCTTTTAAATGTATTTTAGCTTAGCTACTCTAGCAGCAATTTTCCCGCTAAAATAGCCTTTTCTACAGGTAGCACTACTACCTTGTCTTAAAGTTTTTGTACTTTGCTCTTGACGCAAAGTTTTCTTCGTTCGCGCTGCTTTTCCTGGCCGAGACTTGGCACGCAACCAAACGTGGCCAAGTCGGGCGCGTCGTTAACTCGTTCGGGCGCCAGTGGCGGGGTCATGAAGACT